TTTTTTTGGAAAAGCAAAGGGTTCTCGGAAAGATAGCTTACTTCGTTGAAACTTTACGTTAGCTTGTACTGACGTCAAACATTTATTCTTTTAAGCTCCGGTTGTATAAAGTTTATAAGAAATTAAACTTCGTATCAAAATGGTGAAAGTGGTCAATTCGTAATTTTACAAATTTACAATAGCGCATTTTTAGAAATTTGAACAATTTTTAGCAAAATGTATAAATAAGAGCTTCCTTTATTATATTGTAAATTTTTTATTCCTTGTTCTAATTTCTTTGATACAAGTTTTATATTTCTAATGTCGATTCAGTTAATTATAGACAATTGAATATGTTAGACATTAAAACAGAAACAGTTATGATTAAGCAGCTTAATGTCACGAGTATCTAAAGAAAGCAAAACGTATTTTAAGAAATATTTGAATGAAAATATTTTCTACAAATATGAAATCTAAAATTTGTTGTAATAAAATACAGATGGAAATAATAAATACGTTAAATACGTTTTATGTAGACCTGTTGTTCTAGTGATGCTCTACGTCTTGTCTGACTTCGTCTGAGACGATCTACTTGCAGCCAGACATTCGACATACGCCGGAAAACGGGCCATTTCTATTTCGTTAAAGTCGTAGAACATTGCTGTAAATGTGCTCTTCATTGATTATCTAAATATAGAAACTACGAGCAGAGCGTACAGTCCGTTGTGTTTCGCGACTGATTGCTACCAGTACGTGTGTGTCCCTAATTAAATTTCGCGATTTTGCCAATTATCAGAAACATATGTGATACCGATCGATATCGAAAAACGATTTACAGAATATCGTTAATGAAATTAACATCAAATTCTTAAGAATCCATCGATAGAAACCTACGTTTCTTAAAATTATTCAGAAAATGTTTCCAGGAGAAACAAAAAAAAAATTTAGAGTAAATTCAGAGAAAAATTTAACAAAATTGCGAATTCCCAGGAAAAGTTACAGAGGACAAAGATGGTGGGCGAAATGGAACTGAACGATAATAGCAGAGTCATAAGTTGTAAATTTGAGGGAAAGTTTCCAGAAAAAAGTTTAATTAAAATTCCAATTTTCAATCGGGAGCAATTACAGAAGACGAAAACGATGGGAAAACCATCAGTTAAATGATAGCAGTATAATCGTAAGTTGCTTCCTTTCGTTTTTGATGCTCGTAGACTTCGATCGTAAAGAGGAAAGGCACGAGATCGAATCGCAGAATTCAATGACCGCAATTTCACTATTGAAAAGAAATCACCCCTGTGGTCTGCTTTAAGCTTTGCTGCAATTTATTGGAAATTCTGGAGTGTGTTGCGAACAAGCTGTGCAAGGGGATCGATTGGCGACACCAGGTCTAGGAAATTGCGTCTTAAAATCCATCTTGTAACAATTGAATTCTACAAATAAGTAGCCACCGAATTATGTTCGACTTTACGTTGAACGAAATTTAATCTAAACACTTGTGCATATAGAGCAACTACTTTCTACGAATGTCTGTTGTCGCATTAATTTTCATATAACATTCAAACAATTCGAGATAGGATTGCAATACGAAAGCAGCAAGGCTCGTTCATCTACATCACCGAAAATTCGAAGATATTTCAGGCTAAATCAAACGTTTTCGTCGTTTCTCTTTTAATCAGTCGTGAAAATCGACGAAGATGACGAACGAAAGATTTGCATCTCTTCGCTGAGGTGTCTATCGATTTCGTCACGTCGATTTTATCCGACAGCCCTCGATGTGGGCAATTTGTCGCGGCTAGAAATTCCATGTCTCCGTCCGCGATTAAGCGTTATAGATTCGCGGAGCGCCTCGATATAGACTCGCTCGCAGTGATCACCAGCTCACCACGAATTTCTCGAATTATCTTTTCTCGAACGTAACGTGAGCACACTCCTCTACGAACACACGATCGTTCGGAATTTCCATGGAAATCGTGAAGATTTCTACTCACATGTTGTTCGTCGGTCGCTGTTGGTTTCTTGAACTAGAGCTACTTGCCAACCTCGTCAGATCACCGCGTACTTATCACGAGCGACTGTCACCGACTACACGGCCGCGGTATTGATAAAATTTCCAGCGGTACCGCCGCGCCGTCGCTTCACCGTTATCTCGACTACCCTCGAGCAATTTGAATCGTGCCCACCGTGTTCCCGGTTTTAACTATCCTGCACGTTCGATTTCTTTCCACCGGTCGTCAGATCGATTGAAAAATTCCTCGAATCAGACGGTGTACGAGGTACATTGGCTGGAATATTGATATAAAAGAAATTTTCGTGTTGGTGATTAGGGTACGAGGATCGATGTATCGAACGAGAAAGTTCGAGTTATGGCTCGGAGCAGTGAGTAAAGCGCATGCGTAGGTATTTCCAGTCAATAAAGGCGAGTCGGACTCAACCCTCATGCGCAAACACACCCTGAATGTAAGTCAGGAACGTGAGCATGGTTCTCAAAGGCCCTGGCTCTTCTGCCAGCGAAAATAGGCCAACGACCGACGCTGTTAGCCTCCCTGTTCCGTAACTTCGATACTTATTCTCGTCGCTCCGCGATTGAATAAAACCTCGATATTTATAAAATAGTGGAAACGTTAAGGTTCGTCGAGGTCTCGTTTGACGGTTTTAAGGATTTGATCTTTTGGGTTAAAATTGGAAAAATTTTTGTTTCCCGCATAGAACTGAAGTATCCGCAAGTTCGTACGGTCCTGGTAACGCGATGAGAATACGCGCACGAGCATCCGCAAGATGTTTTATTTATGCCCTCGTTACGATTTTTGTCGCGAGGCGAAGGTGTCATCGTGAATTTCGCTTTGTTCTAATGTCGTCGAATGAACACGGAGGAAGTTGCACGATGGATCATTCGTTTGGTGAGTTTTTCAAACGTGTATTTCACGAGATTGAGGAAGATCATGTTCATAATTGCGAAATTCGATAGCTTACCGTTCTTTGAACTTAATCCGAATGCAAGTTATTACTCGTTAAAGTTTATTTTAACAGCTAGACAAGTATTCCGTTATAACACCTATGTAAATATTGGTGGGTTTATAATTATATACTTGTATTTTAAAATTGTCTTCTGTGAACTTTGGACTATAAAAAAAAAATTACGCGTTTTTTATATTATTCGTATTATTTATTAACAAGTAAAAATATCTTTCATCATTGCAGTCATTGCAAGTATCATTGCAATTTTAGAAAATAAAGTAGAATAGAAGGTATCAAAGATTTCGAATGCATTCATGATATATATAATTGAATCGAGATGGCAGCACGTACACAATTTGAATTTAAAGTCCATGTCACTGTAAATTTGAAAATGAACGTAAGAAAATGTCCGTATCTCTCGAATGATTGTATTTCATAATATTAGCTTATGAATTGAAGATTAGATTAGAAAAAGTACTTAGTCGTTTGTTGCATTTGATGTGTCTTTTCATAATAAACATGACGTCATGGGTACCGCCATCTTTACCATATGTCACGCACAATTGTAAAGTGTACTCGTCATCGAAGTAGAATTTGGGGATAACTGTAATTATCTTTGAACAATTCGCATCCCTATTAAGGTCTTCATAAATCTTTCATTTTCGAGTAAGTTGTCGTTATTTTCTTCTTTACTTTATAAAGCAACGCAAATCAGTATTTTCAGTGAAATCGTATCGCATAACTGTAAACATAAGTACATATATAAGTGTATTGTATTGTTAAGTACGCTTAACTTAATAACGGTCTTACATTTATATTGTGTTCGTTAAAAATCGTAACGTATCCTACAAAATTATACTTGAATAATTTCGCTTGTTTAAATGTCTTGCGAATTTTGAGGTTATGGGTGTGTTCAACAGTTGCTATATGTTGTTACACTTTACCACAAGTTATAATATCAGAATTTAATGTAAAGTAGCAACAAAAACCGATGTTGGTTTGAATTTGGATTTACAATTTATTATATGTGATTTCTTTGGTTTGATTTTAGAATGGAAGGTGGTGGTAATTCGAGAGATGAAGAAGTGGGTGGTCCACGGAGTTCGCAGCCGGCTTCAACTAAAAAGTTGCAACAAACACAAGCAACTGTTGATGAAGTTGTGGGAATAATGAAAGTTAACGTGGAGAAAGTATTGGAAAGAGATCAAAAGCTGTCTGAATTGGAGAATCGTGCTGACGCTTTGCAGCAGGGAGCAACTCAGTTTGAGCAACAAGCAGGAAAATTAAAAAGGAAATACTGGTGGAAAAATCTTAAAATGATGATCATCATTGGTATTATATGCGTGCTCATTCTTATTATCATCATCGGTGAGTGATATTTCTAAAATATATATACATATATAGTAGCATTGAATTATAGATTTAAATGGATATATTTTAATGTTTGCAATAGTTTCAACCGTGTCAGGTTCATCGAGTTCTGACAATCCCTCTAAGTGATTGCATTGTATCAAATGGGATATAATGCTCTGGAATTGTTAATTTATGTCTAACAGTCAAAGTTAATTCCAGCAGAGTAAGTGGTAAGCGTGCACAAAGTTAGAGATAATATATGATGGTTGTAAAAACACACGATTCACACGTTATGTCCAAACGAATTGCTATCTAATTAATACGGGAAAAAAGGGTGAAAAAGGAAAAGAAATATATGTATATTTTTGAGATTTAAACTTATTCAAACGCACAATTTATTAGACTAATTACAGTATTAATAATGGGTGGCCTTTCCGTAAATCTGTGAACGGACAATACATTTCATAATGTTATCTTGTTATGATGCTTATTGTACATTTATTATCGATATATAATATATAATATAACGTTTATACTTTTTTCCATCGGACTTAATATAATTCAGGCTTCCGTTTCGCCTTTGCTCCTCTCCAAACATCAACGTCCAACGATCCTATGCACAATTTCAAATATGTCTATAGTTCAAACACAGTGGTGCCAAACGATAGAAAAAGCATTTGATAATACTCAGTGCGACCATTCGACTCCAAAGCCCATCGCGATTACGTACCTAGAACGTTCGCGCTCATTAATATTCATGTACTGACGTTCTCCTACGAATACCGCCATGCTTCTTGATACCAGAGTGACATCAAGACCGTCGAATTCGGTGAAACTCGAGTCAATCGTTGGAATCGTTCTGTATCGGGAACATAGAAAAAAGTTCACAAACTTTCCTGCTCCTGTCACCCGTATCTTCTTATCGTATTACGTATTAAATTGAAACTCGTATTACGTGTTTAAATTGAAATTGATAATAAATCACGTTTACACCTCGTTGATTTACATACGTAGGCAACAAACACACCTGCACACTTGTTCATTCGATTCACGATCCAGCTAGACGCTCGTTTGCTCGTTTGATCCGGCCCGTTTGATCAAAATAATCACGAATGATTAGTGCATCGTCGATGGCTAATTATCGAGGAGGTGAGGTGTTTATTTGAATGATGTCCCGGAAGGTGTAGCGCTTATATGAGAATAGAGAGGAGGTATTGCATGAATCGATAATCAAGATCTGATGTCTGTAACCGCGATCGAAGGACGATTTAACGGGACAATAGAGCAAAATGGTCAGTTATGCGCGTCATTTTTCTTTTTTCCTCTGTCGCTCTATTCTACTCACTAACGTAAATAATACTTCGTAAACAAAGAAACTTCAGCTTCAGTGCTACGTGTTACGAATTTTCTTGGGAAGGATACTCAAATTCGTCATTTCCTTCCTTCGATTTTTTGTCCCAAAGGGGAGATATTTAGTGAACAAACGAGCAACAGTCAACTCGTAGACAATCTCGGTTAATTTGAATTACATAATTACATCTGTAGAGAGCGTACGAGAGATAACATATAATCATAAGTCTATCGCGTGAGTCGATACGCTGATCGAATTATCTGCTAGAGCTCGCCAGAGATTAGCAATTACATCTGATATGTCAGCCATTTCCAGCGGAATCGTTTTTAGGAGCGTGTCGATATCACCATCGTCGCGCCTATGTTTGACGAAAACGGCGAAACCGCAGATAGTCAAATGATCGTTGACACACAATAAACAAAGTGTCGAAGTCACGTGTCGAATAGTGTCAACCGACCGGGGCAGGATACCGATTTTTCCTGTAAACCGAGGCAGAAATCTCAGCCGCTTCATTCATACACCTATCAGTCGGCTGACGACCGTCCAACCGGACAGTCGCTCGTGAAGCGCGTCTCGTATCAACGATATCGTAGGTCAGACGACCCTCGAGACCCTTCGAATCGTCTCCGTCTCACTGAGAACCATCTCGTATATGCTTACGTTTTAATATCCACTCAGACAACAAATTACGAAAACAAGTTTGTCGTGGAACGAGTGAAAGTTTTCGAGGAACATCACACCTTCTATACGCGTTCTTTCTTGCACACGTATTTGTTTATATCACTATTGAAGAGAATTAGTTTTCGTGATTGCTCCGTTCTCGCCAATCTTTGGATCGTTCGTTGGATCGGTTTCGTAAAAGTCGGATTTAACTCGCGAATCGATTAACCGGAAGATCGCAGATACAATACTGTTTTGTAAGAAAATTAGTAGAAACACGAAAGTGAAGCATATGGTAGAATTTTCGTAACGACTTTTGGTGGGGGGCTAATTGTTTTTCTTTTCGTACGATTGTTCGATAGCCGGTCTCGACGCACGTTTCACAGCAGCTAGTGGCTATCGTGCGCGTGTTTGGAACCGCGTTAGCGGGATACGCGACGCTGTCTTTACTCGCGCGTTCGACTGTTGGAATGTTTACGATCCAGACGGGATAGACTGCCGATAAATCGGAAAATCGTTTCGTTCTTTTCGTCGAAGACGCAAGACGAGGAAGAAGAAAAAGAAGAAGGAAGGAACAGGTGTGACGAAACCGATAGTTACCTAAAGTAATCCGTATGACGAAACGTGATTTTGCCGATGCGCCTGTATAATCGCACGCGTAGCTTACTTATCTGTAACTTTATAAATATTGAAAGACGAGCGGAACAGTCGAGTGGTATCGTGTTTTGGAACCGGTGTGTACGTACGAAAGGATCGTCGAGTTGGCGAGAGACGCGGATGAGTTTCCGAGTGGCCGATGCTCGGCTAGAAATGCTCGAAAATCGTTCGGTACTCGTCTAAGACGATAGATGTGTCCAAAACAAGGATCGTGTTTGATAAACCGCGGTGACAGGAGGGGAAAAGGAAGAGACAATAACGATTAGTGAAGATTTAGCTTGATCTAATCTCCTTCTGCTCTCCTTTCTTACTCGTTCGTCAGTTTGTTCATTTCGTGTCGCGTTGAGTTTCGAATTCGAATAGTGCACGATTCTGTGATCAAAGCTTCAACATGGCATCGTCCGGGATCGAAGAGAACCACGAGTACGGTCTGGGGTATCAAAACACGTTGGTAAGTTTATCCTCAGATTTCTGTATCTTAAGTTTTCAACACTCGTTCAATGTTTTTAATGTTACGATTATCGTATCAGTATACTTGTCTCTGTTTATACGTTTCAGTATTAGTCTTCTGATAAAATATTGAAGAATTCTATGTAAGTTAAATTATTAAATCGTTGAAACAAAAAAAAGAAGTATTTTTATATTAGATTTTTTTTTTTTTTGAATGTTAGAGCACACCAATAGGCATGACAGTCAGATTTATTGTTAGTGAAAACACTTACCTTAGTGACTGTGTTTTTTTCGAGTTGTCGAGGGAAAACACGATACAATACGAACAATAAACGAACGATAAGTTGATCTATGATAAATTATAGACACAACCGATTATTTTCGTTTGGACGATTTATAATATACGAGAGTTTAAGCGAAAGCGACGCTAAGCAAGGGTTGCGAACCTATTTTCATGTTTATTCTTGGCCACGGTGCGCTGCTAGCCGCGAATAGTTTGCTTGCGAGCGCCTGGGACAGGGACAGAGAGACACCACGTGCTTCTCTACTTTCACGCGTGCATTTTCAATACGCTATACCCACACTCTCTCGCCGATCCGTTCTCAGCTGATAGTCAGCTGATCACCACGCCTAAACGGCCAACCTTCGCTAATTTATCGGATCGTGACAGACACGCACTTGTGTGCATAGACTGTCGTGAATCACGTCAGAAATGTGTGTTTTAACACACTCGGCTCTCTATGGGTCGTCTTTGTTTTGTGACCTGAAAATCACGAGTACAAGTGCTTTTCCATTTCGAGTTTTAAGTTATCTCTTATCAGGAGATTCGCTTGTTTGTTCTGGTTTCACGGAATTCCTAGACAACGGTGTTCGTCGTGTAGCTAGTTGCAAACTAGTTGACATAGAGAATTGCATTGCAGATGTGTATATTTTAGAAGATGAAGGAAGAATTTGAAACACGGAAACGGACGATACGTGTAGTTGGTCACGAAAGTTTATATGTTTATGAAAATATTACGCGTAACATTTTAAAATTTCATTACTGCTGCAATATATGACCATCAACTATCGTGATTATATTGGTCAAGCTTGAAACAAATCTAAAAATATATATAGAAATTACAAGATATATATTTAAACAGCAACAATCCATTATATCAATATTCGTTATTATTCAGTGGGGCCATCTTTGACAATTATTATATGCTTCAGATGCATAGTCCTGTTTTATATCAGTTCTTTACTAAATACGAACGTAATTGTAATAATCGCTTCTCACTGCAGTGTTAATGAAATTCCGAAATATCTCGTCAAATATCTCCTTGAAACGTTATAAATTCTTGTCTGTATGTTTTTTTAGTAAGTTCTTTTTATAATCAAGAAAAAGACATCGAACATCAAATCATATAATAGATTAGTACGAGATAAGATATTTTGTTTGAATAACAAAATATTCGAATAATAGAATATTCTGCGCTGGAATGTAGTTAATGTAGAAAAACTAATAAATTTTCTAACGAGGAATCGGCGAGGACAGCAAGTTTATTATTTCGAAAGTTCTCGATTTAATAATCGAAAGTTCCTGCGTACATCGAATGGAAATTTAATCAACGAATAATAACGATACATATATATTATTAGTAGTGTATAATATTAAACTACTTCTAGACATAGTCTAAAACGTTATTCCAAGAACATTTGAAAAATTCAATCTAGGCTCTTTATTAAACCGGTGTTTATGAATTGTCGATAAATTATGTTCTTATACGATCCGGTCTTAGGAAACCACATTTTCTTGCGATTTTCTATTCGTCTTGACCGCGTGACTCATGTGATTAACAACGTTCCTCTTTTTCCCTTCTTTCTACCCTCACGTGCAGACGTGATTTTGCAACAAATAATGCAACAAAGTCTGCCAACTTCGCCGTCGGATTTTCAGACCTTGTATCGTAGCAACCGCGAAGACAATGCGTCCTCGAACGCGTCGCGTCACTTTCGAAACACCCTCCGCGAAATTCTAGGGCAGCCTGCCATTTTTCTCGACGTCTCTTCTGTTTGTCTTCCTGCTTGCGAGAAGAATAATTGTGAAAGGAAGTTTGAAACGATCGCCACTGCGTATTACGTTCTTCTTGGACGAGGTACAAATAGAATAGAAAATTTTATGTCTTGTTCGTGTTCTTTATGAAATGCTTGCCATTTCTCGATATTTCTCCTCCTTGTGTTGGCTCGCTACTACTGACGATAATAATTACGAGAAGAAAGCTCCAACGCGATTGTTAGTGTGCAAGATTTCCTTTCGAGAATTTTATATCGTTAGTTCTTAACTTACATTTTTATGAAACGATTCGTTTCTGGATTTCTATCCACTTTTTATATCGTGTGCTAATTTACGAAAGAACTTATTATCAGTGCAAGGAAGTTTTCT